AGAAAGACCTTGGGAGACTGGACAAAAAGGCCGGCCAAAATAATGGTCAGAGAAAAGACAGCAGAGCTATCAGTGTTTGCAGCGTGACTACAATTGTGAGACAACACAGAGCAAAACACAGCATACAGAGGCTTTGTCTTTTAACAGTGGTTTATATACAAGGCAGTTTTATATATATACATAGACGTAGTAGGCAAATACTTGGCAAGCAATCAATCTTCTTTACTCTGCACAGAAAACTACAGTGGAGATAGAACACAAGGAGAAAGAGACACCTTCTCATGGCCTCCTCTATATAGACAGCTTCTTAAAAAGGCAATAACCCTGTGGACCCATCCTCAGTCTTAAAGGGGCAATATCCCTACTGACTCATCCTCATTGCATCAGCATTTACAGCAGCTGGTCAGCTATTAAATATTCATTACCTTAACAAGAGCCCACAGCTGCACAATGGGAGAAACGGCTCAGAAGAGACACTCCCTAGTTTCTCAGGCTGTAAAAGGGCGGGTGTATGTGTGCTGTGGTTCGCCAGTAGCAGGTGCGGACGGCTGAAGTCTCAGAGAACGAGGACTCAGATGAGGGGCCTGCGTGTGATGCAGGGATGGGGCCAGGACCATCAGGGAGTGGAGTGCTGCCTTCAGAGATTGTGGAGGCTGGCAGCAATGAGGAAGAGGCCCCCGAGGAGCCTGTGGCCAGTGTGCGTGTTGGCAGGGCTGCTCGAAGGACAGAGCAGCTGCAGCAGCACGGGCGACTCGGGAGTAAGGCTGCAAGGTAACGGCCCCTCCCTCAAGAGATAAAAGCCAGCTGATAAACTGCAGTTCTTTGTAGAAGGCAAAGAAGTTTTACATTCAAGCCTGGTGGATGTTAGGAATATCTGAGTTGGTGTTTGGAAATTCTTTGTGTTGGAATCACTGCTTAGTAACTTTATCTGGTGTTCTTGGCAGCCTTGCAAAAACTTGGCAAGGCTCTTTCTTATTGGAGCTAATTGATTTGAAGCGGCCTTTTACCCATGAAGGAATGGGATTCGTAAATGGAACATTAAAAGGCTGTGCTGTTACCTTTGTCTCGTGTTTGCTTCCTTGGAACCAGGTTTGGGTCAGAACAGGGGGAAGGATTGTACTTTCAAAATCGCAAGAGTTTGTCAATGTAATTTTACAAGCAAGTCAGGATTCACTTAATAACCATGTCACTAATTAACAATTGCAGTGACTCACTTAACAACGGTGGCAAAAAAAAGATTGTAAATTGGGGACACATTCACTGAACACATGTCTCAGTTATCAACAGAAATGTTGGCCTCAATTATGGTCGTAAGTCAAGGACTACCTGCATTTTTAGAAATTGAACACTACAGTTGGGATTCGTTTTATAAAATAAAACCAGTCGAGGAAAAGAATGCTGTTATCACCGAGAGTTTTTTTTTTTTTAATATATATAAAGTAATAAAAACATATTGCAAATCTGATCAGACTGAAAAGGTGAAAGTAAGACTCAAAAGTACATTTCAATATACTATTAATGCTCAGATGTAGCGTGGAAAAATGTCATGGAAATTTTGGGGGGCGGGGGAATCCTCCTGGTATTTTTATTTTTCACCATTAAGGCTAAGAGTATAAAATACATACAGTCAATCAGTACAAGAAGCAACGGCTGGATTCATGATTTTACTACCCATAATTTAGTTCTTTTTACAGCTTGCTAAACCAGGAACCAACCTCTGTGCTACGAAAACATAAATTTACGGTTCACTATATACCTTGCGTACCAGCCAATTGTGATTCCTGCTGTGAACCAATAAACCACAGTTTAATACCGTAGGTGAACTTAGCCATTCAACAGGAAATGGGTAGTATGTTTTAAGTTTCGGTTCAGAAGCCCAGGGTTCAAATCACATGAAAAGATTTCTTGAATTCTTTGGGCAAAAAATTAAAGAGTATAAAAAAAAAAAATCAGAGGAGAAATAAAAAAAGAAAACTCTGCCATCCACCCAGTCAGTGGGTTTTTTTTTTTTTTCAACCTTTAAAGACTTGTGGACTTCAACTAACTCCCAGGATGCTGACTGGAGGAATTCTAGGAGTTGAAGTCCGTGCCTCTTAAAGTTGCCAAGGTCAAAACACACAGTTGCAGAATTAGAAATAGAATTAAAAATACAAGTAGACCTTGACTTATAACTGTTCGTTTAGTTAACTGTTTGAAGCTACAACGGCACGGCAGGAAGTGATTTATGACCATTTCTCACACTTACGACTGTGGTGGTAGTCACGGATCAAAATTAAGACAACTGACTCGTACTTATAATGGTTGCAGTGTCCCAAGCTCATGGGATCCACCTTTTGCGACCTTCTGACAAGCGAAATCAATGTGGAAGCCAGATTTACTTTCCAACAGCGTTACTAACAACTGTGACTTACTTAACAATTGCGGCGGGGAAGGCATAAAACGGGTCAAAACCGACTTATAACAAACAGAAATTTTGGGCTCCATATTGGTCATTAAGTCGAGGACTAGCAGTATGTAACTTCGGTGCCGCTCAGTTAATTATAAGGTTGCTTTAATACCCTGTTTTTCTGACAAGAATAAATACATTCACTGTTAACGAAGGAAGGAAAAGGCTTTGATCTGTGCAAGACTGACAGATCTTCAAAATGCGATAAAGTAGCAAATGGCAAAGAGGGGAAAGGAATGATTACCAAGTTTGCTTTCAGAGTAAAAATGGTTTCAAGTTTGCATAAACAATGCCCTAACTTTAGACTTCAGATGGACTGAAAACAGGGAAAACAACTATCAGCCCCAACACACAGAAAACTTTAGATTGCTAAATAATATCCATTACAACATAATAAGCATTACTTAAAAGGACAACAAGGCTTTAATTGTTACCAAATGCGTATTTATTCAGCAATGGGACAAGCCATCTCTACCCAAAAAAGCACCAGGATCCAAAGAATTCAACATTTTTTAGGGTTTTAACTTCTACAACCTCCCTACCACCGTCATCACCAAAAAAAATATGAAGTTATTTTCAGAAAATTCTATGAAATTTCTTCATGGGGTGGAGAGGAGAATGTCATAGCTACTTGCCATATGTTGCTGGCAATATTCTCAAATTGACCCTTCAACTAGCTTCGTAAATTACAAAAGCAACCTTTTCACAGGGGCCCATCAATAAACAGAGATTTGCGGCAAGATTTGCTTATGTCCATAAACTAGGTTTGTTTTAAGCCTTGCTGAATGAGCGTCTGTTGGTGGACTTCCAAGCAACAGACTAAGCCATCAACCCAAGATGGCAAACCATCGTGGACATGGTTATAAATCAGACTGGGACTTGGTTTAGCCAATTTAAATGCAGCAAACCACGGGTGGCCTGGGTTCAAATCCAACCTACCTCACAAATTAAAAAATCTGGAATTGAAGTCACCAGCAACTCATTATCTCCTAACCCTATTATACCCAAGTGCAGAGGTTAGTCCAACCTTGGCAACTTTAAAAACGTGATAAAATCGGCCTAGCTGGCTGACAAATTCTTGGGAGCTGAAGTCCACAAGCCTTAAAAGTTGCCAAGGTTGGTCACCCTTAGCTTATGGTAAAAATATTGATTTTTATGACGTTCTTAAAATCTTCGTATATCCTTCTCGTAAAAAAAAAGCTCAACAGCAATGTATAACAATATATATTTGAAGACAGAAAAAGAGGGGTGCGTGCACAAGTCCAAACCACCGTTCTGCTGGCTGAGTGTGATGGCCTCTTCACACCTCATAATGCAACCTAGTTTAGATAACTTTGCTTTAACCGGGGTTTGCTCATTGCAGCTTTGGCCAAACAAGACGGGCAGAGGTGTTCAGAAACACACATCCAAAATATTAGAGTAACCAAGTTGGAAGGGACTTTGGAGGCCTTCTAGACCAACCCATTACTCAAGCAGGAGGCCCTACACCATGTCAGACAGACCAGGCTCTTCTTAACAACCTGCAATGATGGAGCAACCACAACTTCTGAAGGTATGCCGTTCCACTGGTGAATTGTCCTCAACTGTGAGGAAATTTCTCCTTAGTTCTAGGTTGCTTCTCTCCTTGGTTAGTTTCCAACCATTGCTTCTTGTCCTGCCTTCTGGTGCTTTGGAAAATAGGTTGACCTCCTCTTCTTTGGGGCAGCCCCCACGCCCCCACCCCAAAAATACTGGAATCCTGCTACCATGTCACCCTTGGTCCTTTTCACTAGACTAGACATACATACCCAATTGCAACCGTTCTTCATAATGTTTTAGCCTCCAGTCTCCTAATCATCTTTGTTGCTCTTCTCTGCACTCTAGTTTCTAGATTCTCAACATCTTTTTTAATAATATGGCGACCAAAACTGGATGCAGCATTCTAAATATTAGATAAGTGTAAGATAGAACAATTAAATCAGTGGAATCACTTGCCTCCAGAAGCTGTAAATGCTCCAACACTTGAAGTTTTTAAGAAGAGATTGGATAACTATTTGTCTGAAGTGGTGTAGGGTTTCCTGCCTAAGCAAGGGGTTGGACTAGAAGACCTCCAAAGTCCCTTCCAACTCTTTGTTATTCTATTGTCTATATTTATGACAGTTACAGGGTCCTCGAGTCCTGTGTGGTCTTTCCAAGGCATTACAACGCGGTACTAACACTCCCCGCTTTGCGCTCGAAATCCGGCTTTCTCCCCGCGCACGCAGAAGCTTTTTTCCCCAGCCTTTCGGCCCTATTCCTCCCCAAGGCAGAGCTGAGACCCCCGGTTGCCCCTGGGCTTCTCCTCCTCGGCAGCGTTTGCGCCCCAACCTCTCAAGCGCGCGTTTTGCAAGGCGCAAAGCGATTGCTATTTTTGCGAGGGTGCAAAAACGGCTGCTTTGCTTCGATTTCCCAGCCCGGGGGTCGCCTCGCACGACTTCCAACCCCTTTGTCCCCCTAAACCCCGCAGGGAATTGCATTGCACAAGGGACAGCTTGCACTCTGCGCATGGCCAGAGGCCTCCGTTCCGGTTCCTTACCGGCACCGCCTCTCCCCGTGCGCAACCGAGAAGTCCCCGCCATCGCCCCTCCTTCCTGCCTTGCCCGCCTGCCCTCCCTCCCTCCGGGGCTTGCTCGGGAACCGCCCTCGGCTCGTCCCCGCTCAACGGAGGGACGAAGAGGCTGAGCCGGCCACCCTTGACGCGCGGCCGGCCCCGGGGCTGCCGGTGTGCAACGGAGGGCGTCGTGCGCCAGGCGGAACCAATCGCCGTTTGCGCACCGTCTCTGGCTGAACTCCAGCGCTTGATGGATGCGGAAGCGGAGCGGCTGGATTCGCTCAGCCCGCTTGCTAAACTGGGAAGACGGGGCTTCGCAAACCAACAGTCGCAGTTGCGTGACTTTTTCAATCCCTTGGACCCGGGGTCTCCAAACTTGGCAACTTTTAAGACTTGCGGACTTCCAACTCAATTCAATTCTGGGAGTTGGAAGTCCACAAGTCTTCCAAGTGGCCAAGTTTGGAGACCTCTGCTGAGCGGACAGTTGTTTGGCTTGGAAACCGGTGGATCGCAAGCCAAGCCGGCCTGAAGGCATCCAGGGCTCCCAGCCATAAGTCAAAACGTCAAAATTCACTGTTTCGTGAATTCATATTGATTAGCCATCAATGGCAGCTCATATAAACCAAAAGTGGGTTTTTGCAGAGCACGCAGTGCCAAAACTAAACACCCAGAGGTGGCATTCAGCTGGTTCTGACCGGTTCTGAAGAACCAATAGCACAAACTTTGAGTAGTTCGGAGAACCGGCCAATCCCATCTCTGACTGGCCCCGCCAACCCCATCTCATCTCTGCCTCCCATTGAGGCAGATTGGCTGGATCTTCTTTGGTTGCCCTGCACAGGAGAACGGAGCTGGAAAGCAGGTT